TGCACCCTTTTCGCTCGGTCTTCCGCGCCTCGCATTTGCACAAGCTTGACCTTTTACTGGTGAATACTACCTAGACGGGCAGGGATCGTTTGTGTTACCGATTTCTGTGTGCCTCGTGCTCTCGCCGCGGTTGTGTGTGTGTGTGTGTGCGCACCCAAACGAATAATAATATGTATGCAGATACCTAAAGCCCGAGCACATTTCCGCATCGCATACCCGGGGGGTTTCACACCCTACTGATGATCTGCACGGGGAATGAAACCGTCCTCATCTTGGATACATTTCGCCATGTTTTGTTGTCTTGGGCATCCTCACTCCCAGGCTGCCTTGCTTCGATATACTGTAGTGCTTACTGCGCAATACACCTGCGTATTGGATGGAATGTGTGTCTGCACGTGTGGAACGATGACGGTTGGCAAATGAATATATGGGCTGCTTGCTGTCACGATGATGATGAGCAAACGGACTGGTGCATCAAACCGTTTTGCATCTAGTGTTACAAGCCCGAGGTGCAAGACAGTATGCCTTATTGTACTGGAATAATCTCACCGTTTTCAACCTACGTCCCCGTAATCGTCTAGGCGATATAAGTTGTCTTACCGATATGAGATGGGATCTAATAAGTGGTACCTTAACTCATCATCACATATAGTTCGGTTGGTAGACCCCAATATATTCGACATGCAGGTTATTGGTGAGAACCTGTCATCACCATCCCGTTTTTCTAACCCCTATCCAGTGACCAAACGATTCCTCCATCGTTTTTCTTATTGTTTGATTATGGTCATCATCACCTCTATCTTCCCATTGTTCGGTTAATACTATCGGTCTTATTCCCTTGCCGTTTCTGTTCATTCGTCACATGGTCACGAATTGCTTTATTTATCCAAATAGATAGATTTGTTTAGCGCAGTGCTCACTGTGGTCATTGATGCGACTGGAAATCTGGTAACTCGGATCTCATGCAATTGACTCGTCTAAAATCTCGTTATTCGTGAGAGAGATCCCAGTTCCTGGTTGTTTGTAGTGTGTGGCATGTTCCACTCGTAAAGCGACGTAACTGCTTGCATGGTTTGCGGTCTGCAAAAGACACCGTTATGCATGTTCTGTCGTTTTGCACCCGAGGGTTCACAATGAACTGACATGACCAGTGACCGATGTCTTTCGTTTGAACTCCACTAATCCGACAGTATACTTGCATTCATTTCTGCCGGGACTGATCAAGTGCTAGGGGCATGTTTGTGTCACAGTGTTCATACATTGGTTCATTTTGGGACTACCTTGGGATGTTCTGACGGAAACAACATCCAAACATAGTTCTTCCATCCATGTTTCCCATGACGTGGATTACTCGCTTTGTTGTTTCTTCCAACTCGGTTGCATATCTGTGTGATTACCATTGAATAACATTGTTCAAACATTCGAAGGACATGCCCCAACCTCCTCGAACTGTGAAGTACCTAAAGGATGTTTATATACCCGTAAAACACGTTATCTTATTTGTTGAAATAAATGTAGATGACTATCTTAGGGACTCAACCTGAGTCTTCGGCTAGCCGAAGCATAACCCTCAACGTGTGAGTGGGAGGAGGGTGTGTGTGTGTGGAAGCACCTCGGCTGCCCATTATTGTCGATTGCCCACTCGGGTCGGTGACCATAGCTTCTCGGAGCTAATTCTTATACCTCTCTTCAAGAGGTTCAAAATCAGGGTTCGACCCGCCCCTCCCTAGATGAATTAGTTTCCCGCGCAGCAATTTAACTATAGCCACGCTTTGATCGATGCACTCTGGGAGCCCATTTTCCAGTAGTATCTGCACCCAGTATCCTTCGCTAAACACATTAGTTGTGTTATTCGTGATAATTTCAAGTGCAGTTGTGTTAAATCCATGAAATCCAATGTACCACGTACCATCTTCAGGCTTCTCGTTTTCGTCCTTTATTTCTGTATTTGTTTGTAATTATCATAGATTTGACATGTGGATCAACCCGCAAATGTTTACACTGCTGTTACGTAATCAGTCGGATGCAGCATAAATTATTCTGAAGCAAGCCTTGCTCGAGATCAATTTCAAAAGAAAAGACCAAATTGCCATACTGCACGATTTATGTCCAGGACGATTTCGCTGCATCTCAACATGGTGCATACTTCAGAAAACAATNGTTTATATAGTGATTTAGTATGGCAACAAAGAAGAGTGAAATACAATGATTTTTCCATTGTGCTTCGTGTTTTTCTTTTCCCACTCAGATATTTTACTCGATAGAACCACATCAATCGGGTGGTAATGGTCCAACACCAGACCACTCGGAGTCCACAGCCCACTTTAGGTGTGATCCCCAGTCGGGTTGGATCCGATTGGCCCGTAAATTGAATTACCATTCCGCATCGACTCATCGATTTTGGGCAGTAGCCACGGATCAGGCTGCCGTTCCTTTGAGTTCCCGTATTCCGATCACAGTAAGTCAGTCGCATTTCGATAGTCGTGATGCCGCTGTTGCGGATGATGATGATCATTTGTGGAAGTGTGCGTTCTCTCTGCTGTTCTTTGCAGTACTGCCGCTACAGAGGTTCCATCCACTCATCGTTTGCACGTTGCTGACCAGATCTTGAGGATAGGACTTTAAATTTCCGGTTGAACGGATATGATGAATGAGCGTTACTCGCAATAACCAAGTGTGATGTCTGTGTGCCAGTCGGCATCGGAAGGGGGCAATTATGATCGCATCGCCGGGTATGGAGCGAGGCGGGGGTATAGGCGTCGCTTGATTAATCTATTTTCATTGCATCGCTTAATGCGCACCCTTACTGTCTGTTCCTTTGGTCCAAGTCCGGGTTAGTTTGTTCTCCTTCTGTCGGCAGAACATTACACGATGTTTGATTAGTGTTCCGTCTAGTGATTTCTCTCATCCCCCCTACTCAATCGGTTCGGTCCGTTTGATTACACGAGCGCACCTCGTCCGTCCACGTTGCTTGGAGCATTACCGTGTAATTACGGCGCGTGAAAATTCTGAATCGGAACACATCAGAGAAAATCGAACTTACTGAGTTTATGTCACTCCCGTAGAGTTTTATGATAATGAAAATGTTCATGATATCCATCTGGAATTGAATCGTTCGATTATGAGAATGAGCATAGCTATTTTTGTTTGTTATTTGACGAGATACCGGACGTTTTATTGATTCTTTGGCATCCGCTCGATACCCCCACCCCCGCTGTCTTTTTTGACATTTTTGCCGATAGATTATGCGCATTGTTCCCTAGTGTTTCCGTTTGCTGGTCAGCATCGATTGAGAACTATTCCACTAACAGGTCCCGTTTGGTTAGACAAGTGTGTCCGGGCTTGATTTTCTCGGCAAAAGCGAGAAATATTGTGCCCACATTTGATTATCAGCCCGAGTGGAAGATGAATCTTACGCTCATTGATACTCCTATTCGCAAGAATAGTGGAGACCACTGATTTACCGATGGTGTTATTTACTCACGTTTAGATGCTTGAGTCGATTCTTCTGAATCAGGAGATTGAGATTTAAAACCCCTGTTAATATTCGTTTTTTTTCCACGCTGATCATGGATCACACTTGAAGGAATACATACTGCAGTCTAAATATCTAATGAAGTGTGGTGCAGAATATTCACGTTAAGATCAGCATTGTGCTTGAAAACATGTAGATTATAGGAAATTTATAGTGTAGACCTAGGGTTGGGAGTACGGAATTCTTTTTTTACGGTTCTTGGAAAAAGAGATTTATAGAGCCAAGAAACAAACTACCCCCCCCCCCCAAGACCGTTTAACATCAACAAATGCATGCTCATCAGGCGCCAACTCTCTGTTCAGTCGTAGTCCGACCCTACTGAGAATGCATCCGGGAATATGTCATTGACCCACAGGGTCCGGTACTTGCAATACCAGTGACGGATGAGCTCTGAATCCAGTTTTGTTAACATGTATCAAGCTCCTTGATACCTCAAATTGTTAGTGTATAGGATCAACAACCCCGAATGCCTGGGTTTGAATCCCCTTAGAATCGGGGAATATTATATTTGGTTGAGCAAGTGCACCAAATGAGAATTGGTACCGGATATGTCGATACTAGTGAACCGAAAGCATGATAGTGAAGCCGCAACCAAGTGACGGGCTAATACCTACCTGTAAGAAGTTAGCATCGGATCTCCTATCTTTCAGATTTTCTGCCTTACGTTCAACACCTATCATATTATGCTTGTTTATCAATAGTTTCCTGTCATTTGATCCGTGGTCCCTTTCATGTGATATTTTTGCAGATTCATGTTCTCGACTTCAATGACAATCCACCACAGTTCGACGTTCCAGACAGAACAAGCTTTAGTTCAGTCGGAACCCAGTCCGCCAACTGTCTCTATCGGGCCACGATCAACGAGCGTNGCCCGGGAACCTTTGTTCTGCGTCTGATGGCTAGCGATCCGGACGTGAATGACACGCTGACCTATCATTTGATCCCGTCGCCGAATAGGCATTCAGAATATTTTCGTTTGGGCACACAAGATGGCATACTTCGATGGGCTCCATTCCGTACTGATTGGGGTGAGGTGGCCTTACAGACCCCGGTGTCTGGAGCTCTGACTGATCTGGGCAATTCGGACAGTCGATGGTCTCCACTCAGTCCCGAAGGGGATTTCCAGACGGACAAATTGGAATTTCAGGTCAGTAAGAGCTTCGGTTGCTGGTATTCTACATTCTGCGGTCGAGTTGCGAACTTATATGTTCACGTATTGACGCGTATATTTTTGGTCGAATAATTTGAAATCTGAAAACTGTTATTTGTTGCTGCTGTTCTGCATAACCTGCATAACATGAAACTTTTTCGATGGATCTCAGTTAGCCTAACTTGTCTACGTCACACCTACACAGAAATCGTTATAACTTTCCTGTCTATCGTGGTACTCCTACCGCTTCACTGTCGTCTCTTTCTGATGTTTTTTTCTCGTCCGAAAATGCTATTTACTCTTGCGAAGTTTTTGAAATCTGTTAGCAGATCCTGTTGAGATCTGAACACATTTGAGGACACTGTAAATCAAAGAACTTGACTCGTTATTGCCCACTGCATCAGGCTGTCTTCCGATGTTTACAGCTTCAGTTTCTTCCAGTTATGCATTCGGTATCTGGAACGAGAATACCAATCTTCGAGTTTAATTTTGTTCTCCCTCTGAACCAAGTAATCAGTCGATCACCGCCCTTGTATTATAACTCGTAGCCTCCACAATCAACATATCACATCAAGCGGCCTATTCGTTGATATGTGCCCCAAAGCAACTCATTTTTCTCGGTTCGGTCAATATCGTTCCCCACTGGAATCATAACATAGTATCCTTAGGGAGTATTATTTGCTCGACGCTAGACCACATGCGTCGCTACATTCGAAGTCATATCCGCATTCTCCCCAGCGCACATGCCGTTAAGTGTCCACAATATAGCGAGCATAGCTGATCAGTCGATCGATCGATCAACCGAACTCACCGCAACCATCAGATTAATCTTTGCAACCGTTCGTCAGTTTCTACCTTGACGCAGAGCTCCATAGGAGCTGAGATAAGTGGTAAATGGCCATGAAAGTCACGATTTTTTCTCTCCACGATGCTGTTGTATTCCCACCCGAATTTTGTCTCGATTATGTGTCAATGTGCCTGTCATACGGATGCACATTACCGATGCTATCTGCAGTGAACGCACTGTACATCTGGGGGACCAACTGGGACTGTGAGACAGCTCATAGAGACACGTTATGATCGATTTCACACTATTCTTTCCTTCCCGCTTAACTTTTGCCATGTTTGCCTGCAGAGCAGCCACTGAATTGCTAGGGAATAAGTTGTTTTTATTTGAATTGGCCATGACAAATGTAAGCTGGTTTTCTTTTTTTCCAGTCTCATTATTGCGATTCACATTTGGAAGAATTGGGCTTTCATTCATTTTTTATATCCTGATCATTCACTATAGCCCTCTGTTTGAGTGTGAGCGATCATACCGGCCGCGGTTTGCTTCCCGAATATTGATTAAGCCTTTGTTATGTATCAAACAAATAGGAGTAAAAATATTATCACCTGAGGGACTTGGAGGATTTGATTAGATCATATGGTGAAGTTCGTCGTGTACAGGGCAAATGAAAGGTGGACTGAAAAGTTGGGAAACACTAGATTGCTGTTTCGATCCGGCTGGCTCTCAGCAGTGCGAATCCATCGGCCCAACAGGGGATCGAACCCGGAACCTCACAGTAGGAACACATAAGCATATCACACACTTGACTACCGAGCAGTTAATCCGACCGTTTTGATATAGCACAACGCATCTTTGCGAGTTATTCACAATTACTTGAGTCTAGTGGGATAGTGGGATGTGTTATCGATTTGGCTTGGTTATGCTTCCGTCACGCACAATTCCTAGCACCTCCAGTAAACCATACACTCAAAAAACAATAGACTCGTTTCATTGTTAGCATGGCTCAAAATCCATAACACTTACCACTCACCACTACTATCGGATAACTGCCAGTTCGATGTCTGGTAAAATCGAGTCTGTGAACCGAAACATGCACGTGAAGTTGACATTGGATATTCCGTATCTTCTTCCATTGCTGTCAGGTCAAATAAAAGCCGACTGATGATGAGTGAATAGGAGAACTCAACTGTTCAGCCTCGGTGTGGGTTGGCTGGTAGCAGACGCTTTACGTTTAATCCCTCGTGGACGGATGAATGTGCGCCACTGATGTGAGCTCTCCATTGAAAGTCAAACTCCAATTTACCGCCTTCCTAATGTATACTTCACTGAATGAACTGTCGGTTTTGCATGTAGGCTGCAGAATGGTCAGTAAAAATCAAACATTGCCATAACGATAACGCGGTAATCAAGTTTCCGGTTTTTCATCAGTGTGTATCATAGTCGTTGTTTAATGAGAGAGAAAGTAAATCAAAACATTTCATAGTGAATCATTCCACACAACACCTCCGGTATCTCATGCAGTCACCTGGGCATGAACAATCTACTGACTGATGCCCCGAGTTGCGTTCGACCGTGATTATGAACAATTGCCCCGCGGTTACCTGTCATACACGTGGCCGAACAGATTTAGGAATTAGTTGGTGAGGGTCCTGGTGAAATCCTGCACCGTCTGGTTCTGCCTCACTTCGTTCCACCTCAACGCTGCCGAACCTCACTCGCTGTTCGCCGTCACCTTACCTCATTTTTTTCCTTTGTGTGTGTGTGTGTGTCTATCTGTCTGTGTCGTAATATTTACCGAGATGAATGGGCCCGTTTTGGTGAGTTTGTTAACTAAAGCCTGAAGTGCGAAGAATTACATCGGGTCGACACACTGGGATTCGAGAGTGTGCACGTGCAAAACCCACATCAATCATTGTGAATTGGCGATTCTGGACAAGGAGAGAAGACATAGAAAGTTAATTGCATTTGATGTCGTTTTCCTCGCCTCATCCCGCTCCACCCTCCGGACTTCAGTCCACTCTACTCTCTCACTTCTTCCCACTCCTCTCTGTGTTTGCTTGTTTTTCCATACTGAACAACTTATTTTCTCTCTGTGCTTTCCCTTAGTTGCACTCTAAACACTCCACAAAGCTTACTTGTCTGTTGGCTGAAAGTGAATTTGTTCCCTACAATAGAGGTATGTGGGGCAATCACGGTGTTTATAATATCATTCTTTCACACTTGCCTTTACGAACGAGTAGGATGAGGATTCTTTCCCCGCCCGTCTGTTCTCTCATGAATACGCAATACAATCATGTGCCTTAGTGTGTGTGTGTGCATGCGTCGGCTCAATCACAAACTGGAGGACTGGTACAGTGTGCACTCTTCCGCTTTATCTTCAACTTCGGATATCTATCCACTTTCGTCAGTATTTCGCCCCTCTTCCCGCTCACTAATGCTCAGGGCTAAATGTAGCTAGATATTCCATCTGTTTCATCGCTTCTCGCAATTGACAGCCGTGATCGGACCGCGATCGACTATTCTCTGTCTATTGGCTTCAGTGCGTTGGTGCACTCAACAAAGTTATCATCCTGATAACCTCAAGAGAGAGAGAATGGGGCACGTTTTTTTCCCTTTTCGTTCGGTTACAAATTGTCGCGTTAGCAATCAATAAGCAGTGATGTATGTTATTCAACTTACACCACCTGTTGTTCATTATGTCCATACATGGCGCCGTTGTTCTAAGGTTTTTGACATACGACGCCTCTTTCCTAGGGATACTGCTTCTTTGGCACTCTTTTCTGATCGGCTGTTTCGTACTTCTCTAAGGTTATTTTATGTCGAGATAACAACCCCATAACTTTACAAAGTTCAGTTCAGTTCTTACAATCAGTAACCATGCGCTTTCGAGCGCCGGTTTTGGTTTTGGATAAACTAGTAGAATAAAGATTGGAATGTTGAGAGCGTATTCAAGCGGAAGATAGCGCAATTATATAGACAGATGTTACAAGAATAATGAGTAGATGCATGAGCACCACTGGTTGCGACACCCAGCCATATCACTCAGTGTATCTAACCATCGATGACCATCATCTCGGGGTCCCCAGCCAGGGAGTCTAACGAGACCTACGTGACCTAGTCTCCTTGTCAGGGTTTTTATACCCTCATGTCAGGTCTGTTTGACTGTCCTTGGCTTTCTTCCAACCGCTACCTGCCTCGACAAACATCGCTCGCCGTGACAACCTATCTGGTGACATGCGTAGCACATGTCCCAACCAGCGTAATCTATGGAGGTCGATCACTTGCTCCAGTAGACGACCGCAACTGCCTAAAACTCTACGCGTAATCTCAGCATTGCTAGTCCGGTTACCCCATCAAACTCATGCAATAGCTTTACAAAAGCGTAGGTGGCGTCCATGCGTGGATTCGAATCCCACCTAGGCTATTGAGCTTTTCACAATTTCAACGTAAGACTACAATCTACCAAAGAACAATTTGAACCTCAAATATGTCAACTCTTGAAGTTGGATTCACAGTCACCACGTTTGGGAAGACAGCGAAAAAAGTAGATTAAGCTTGTTGCTTGGTAGCTACCTCCCACATGCTGGGGCAATCTGCGACCCGAGAACGTGGTCACATTAAGGTTCCGATTGGGGACCTATTGGCCGGCCTAATCACCCAAGTTAATATGAGTGAGTGTTGTAAATATTGGCACCCATGTATCTACTCAGTTTCTACGCTGGTCGAATTCAACCTGATATTATATGTTAATCATTTATTTTTGCTATCATCAGCCCGTCGTTGTACCATAACCCACTGATCGATCAACGTGCCGAATCGCACAGCTAATAGTTGTGCAAACTAAGCAGATAAAGTTGATTAAAATTAAGTTGTTGACTTTATAATTTTTTTCGCGGATAAGTTAGTTTGTGTTTCACTGTTACACAATAAGAGTAATTTGTGCATTCATCCCTTTCTCCCTCCATCCCTCTCTCGCTCACCCTGTCACAATCACAATTAGGTTCACGTATCCGACCAGATACACACTACCGCGTGTGACGTTCAAGTCGAGTTAAGTCTAAGTAATTTGCAAGCTCCACAATTCCCCGGTCGTAAACACGAGGTGTGGAATGTGTCCGAATCGATACCGGTCGGACCGCGTCTCGGTCGTGTGAATGTGGCTCGTGATACAGATCGCGGACGATATGGTCAT